GTCCAGCCACTATTGCCACACACCACCCTGGCTTCCCGTCCCCTTCTATATTTCCCTGTGTGAGCCGCCAGCCTGTAGTAGTCCCTGTCTTCTGGCAACGTGGTTGCCAAGGAGTCTGGGCATGAACAGATGCTCCAGGTCTTCTGAGGACACTCTGCAGTCATCATCCTGATATCTTTAGGCTACAGTCCAGAGGTGCTTAACTCTTTCCTGTAGTGAGGGGCTGCGGGCAGGCCTGCTTTTCATCCTGCCCAGCTCCCGCACGGCTAGCTTAGCCCCAGAAATAATAACACATAAGTTGCATTCATTTAAATACTGCCTGGCCCATTATGTCTAGAGAGTTAGTTACTGGCTAACTCTCACATCTTGATTAACCCATTTTTAATAATCTGTATAGTACCATGAGGTGTGGCTTACCAGGAAAGATTCAGCATGTCTGACCTGGTGGCTGGCTCCATGGTGTCTGCCTCATAGCCCTCTTCCCAGCATTCTGTTCTGTTTACTCCACCTACCTAATTTTCTGTCCTATCAAGGGGCCAAGGCAGTCTCTTTATTGACCAATGAAAATAACACAATAGACAGATAACCCTCCTCCATCATTTCCCCTTTTTCTGTTTAAATAAAAATGAAAGGCTTTCATTTTAACACAGTAAAATTATATATAACAAAACAGTTATCAAGCAAGAATTACAGTCAGCTTCTGTTTGTCCATTCACCTCCCTGAGAGCCTTCTAATTTCCCCACACAGCGCAGGGTCACTTTAAATCAGGTCACTTGCACTGCACCACACATGTGCTCTGCCCTTAATGTGTCTTCTCCTTCCTGGGCCAAACAAACATTGCTTGACTTGCTCTAACCACGGCCCTGTCCTTCTGTAATAACAATGCCTGTAATAGAAAGATTTTTAAAAAGAACAAATCACAAATCTAGGTGCCCAACAAGAGGATACTTAAATGCAATGTAAGTCATTAATATAATGGAGTATTTTTGACCAATAAAAATGGTGATAACATTGATAAAAATAACAAGAATAACAAGTCCACTATACACTGTAGGAGAAAAATCACAAAATAAGTTGCTTTAACTGAATATGTAACAAGAGCCCATCAATCGTAAATCTCTAATTTGTATCATATAGTTATAGTTGGTTAATTTGTTTCCCTTTTTAGGACCTTTATAGTATAACCTCTTTAAATGAATATATATTGTTTTTGAAAAAACAAAGTTTCAATGAAAGATTCAAAATATTGTAATGAAAAAGTTGCATGATTTTCAAGAGCACTGTGCCGCGACCCTGTGTATTCCATCGGGAAAGGCTTGCTGGGCCTACAGGCTGAGCAGGCGTAGGTTCTGAGCATCAGGAGCCACGCTGAGGCTTTGAGGCTCCTTCTGCCCTTAGATGGTACAGAGTCATGCTTTCCTGGAAGCTGGGTCTACAGAGCGACCAGGCTGCTTCAGTCACGACACCGCCCTACAGGAGGCTCAGTCTACAGCTCTACACCGCCCTACAGGAGGCTCGGTCTACAGCTCGGAACAAGCTCCTGGATTAGTGGTCTTCAAACCTTTGGCAGGAAAACCTCTTGTTATCTCCAGACAGAACTTTATGTAAAACATCTCCTAAACAAAAGCCCTGTTGTCTGGCTGAAGCAGGGACCATGACTGAGACCTTTGATCTTATTAAACCTCCTTCACTTCCTTCTCCAAGTCCTCTCCCCCAGAGTTTGCACGGCACCTCTTGAAGCTGTTTTGCAAGTTTGCAAAGTGACAAATCAACAGACTAGTCATAGATGGTTTTAAGAAGGCAAATTCTGTTCCAGTAAAAGGTTTGTTGACTGATGGTGTGACATCAAACCGAGTTACTTTTACTTCTCGAGCACGCCCATTCTTGACTTCCTTGAGGTCCAACCTTGGTCAATGGAGAAAGATTCCTCTCTGTGTACACCTACAAACTCCTGCAAAACTCAGACCTCTCCCTTGGTCTCTGTTGACCTCTAACCCCTTAGATGACCTGAGGGTTTTTTCACCTGTAGGTCCACATAGTATTTACACACAGACCCTATAGCACTTTAACAGTATACTCTTCACATTTTGTAACATGGGTTCCAAACTAGACTACAAACTCTACTCAGCTGAGCTCTGCTGATAGGACTAAAAACTCCCACTTACCCATTGATATTATTGTGTTTATGTCTGCATCTTCCTATTTCTATGGGGTTGAGAGATCTTGGTAGAGACAGGGGAGGAATCAAGTGATATATATCATTAGGATTCAGGCAATGGAATATCTATTATAAATCCTGAAGTAAGGAGACTTATGACTCCTCTAGAAAAGTTACTTCAAATGGAATCTGACTCTACTAGATCCAGTTTCAGGTCTATTGGTAGGAGAGAACAGTGTGTTGCCCAGTGGAAAGTAATGGGCATTACTTGAAATCCCTGAAGCCCAGGCAACATGTTAGCACCTGTACATTCTACAGCCAAAGGGCTGTATTTCCAAACAAAACTTCCCATCTTCTGTTTGCAGCTTCTCCAGAAAAGTAAACTTTGGTGGAAGAAGTCAGTATTCCAGCTGGCAGTAAAAGAGACAATCTACCCAAATACAGAAAGTACACCAAGGCTCATTGCAGATGCTAAGCACAGGGCTAACCGTGTTTGGAGCAGAGCAGGGTAAGCAACCACACGTCAAAGACAACTATGCTCAAAGCGGAACTTCTGGAAGAGTCACTAATCTGAACAGAATGACAGGAACACAGGAGACTCGGAAGGAGCTGGGGTCTGAAATGAGAACAAGAACAAGATGGCCACTGAAAGCAAAGAAGAAGTGGTTGGTACTCAGCAATCTGGACCCACAAGGAAGAGCATAAAAGAATCAGCACGAGTCTTCTCTTAAAGTAGGAGCAAGAACAAGATGGCAGAGGATGAGGAAGTAGAAGTGCCGTCATTAAAAGGAGAGCCAGCTACAAATGAGAGCTTTGGGCTATTTTTTTGCATTCTTGTCATTTGTTGTCATATCTGGACACACAGAGATTCATGTGCCAGCAGACTACTCCCATGGGGGTTCGTTTTAGGTGAAACACTGCACTTAGAAACCATGCTGTCATATTATTGGACACCTTGGCATTCTCGCTGGTGCACACCTGTAATTAAAGCCTCAGGTGATGGAGGCAAGAAGATTAGGAGCTAAAGGTCAGCCTGGACTACACAGCTAGCCTGTCTTTGCAAAAATAATTTTTAAAACCAATGTGTTTAAGCAGTAAGTTTCAGAGGATAAAGGAGAGTATACTATTGACTCAAAAATCATGGGATTTATTGTACTAATATGCATACTAAAATCTGAGTTAAAATCTACATAAATATTAAATATGGGTGACATTAATGTTTGTAAAGGCATTTTGAACAAGTTCTAGCTTTTTTTTTTGTTTTTTTTTTGTTTTTTTTTTAGTAAATTTTATTAAATTATAAAAGTTTCCATTTCCATCCCCCCTCCCAACACCCTCCCACTCCCCCTACTCCCCCTCCTCCTCCCTCTTCGTCCCACAGGGCAGTCAGGGTTTCCTGCCCTGTGGGAAGTTCCAGTTCCTTCCCCCTCCCTCCAGGTCCAGGAAGGTGAGTGTCCAAACAGACTGGATCCCCAAAATCCATTATATGTAGAGGAAACAGGTCCCAGTGTCATAGTCAATGGCTTTTCAGAAAGACTTCGGGTCAGCCACAGTCAGAGAATCCGGCCAAATTCGGAGAGTCTGGTTAGATCACGTCCTCTTTCAGTCCCAGTCCAACTGGCCTTGGTAAACTCTCATCAGATCCGTTCCCTTGTATCAGTGGGTGATAGCATCCCTCGCAGTACTGATTTCGTTTTTCATGTTCTTCCTCCTTCTGCTCCTCATTTGGACCTCGGGGGGCTCAGTCCGGTGCTGCATTATGGGTCACCGACTGTATCGCCGTCCTTCGTCAGATGCAGGATCCCTCGGAAGGCCCTCTGGATGGAAGCTGGGATGGCTGACGGGAAGCTAGCTCAAGTTCTAGCTTTTAAAGTGTGATTTTATTATTGAATTGCAGAGCTATTACAGTGTATTTTAGTTAGCCCTCTTAAGTTTGGGCAGAAAAGGGCTGGGAGAGGGTCTCTCTCAATGAAGAAGTGCAGGACTTTGTTCTGTTCTAGTCCCCTTCCCAAACTGCTTTGAAAGCCTTTATTTAGTTTTATCACTGTTGGATACAGAATGTAGATTCCAACCATCACTATAGACAATAAAGTGCCACTAACTTATACTAAAAAAAAAATGTAGATGCATTTAAAAAAAAGAACTTTCATTTGAGCAGAAAGTTCACACCAATATGCAAAATAAAGAATCCTCAAGAATAGAAAAATCTGAAAACAGATCTGCAGCTTTAAGGAACTATAGATGTCCCAAATTCTTAACTAAAGACACTTGGGTTTAGAGGGAGGCTGGAGCTTGGGAGAACTTTTCCTCAGCAGGCGGCCCCTGGACTACTAATGAATTGTCACCAGCATAATTTTGAACATAATGGTGCACAATCTCCTACCCAAGGACAAAGTCAAAGTGTAAGATGAAAGACTCTGCTTTCCTGGTGGTATACAGGACAATCTACCTTTCAACGTCCACAGCAAGAGTGACTGCACCATGGTTCTGTGTGTTCTGTAAATGGCTGGCTGTCTCTGCTGCTATCCTTGTCACTGTGAAGCCTTACTCCATCCACGTTGCAGGATGGTCTCCCAGTATCTGCTCATTTCAAGCATACTCTCGCAACAAAATTTGATTCTTATAATATAGCATGCCAGTCATTGTAGGCGTAGTTTCTCTGTGCCCCAGCAGTCCCTTCATAATAATCACACTGAGCCTTAATATTATAAAATATTTATGTCTAGGTATCTTCATTTTTAATCTTCTCTCAGTGGTGTTACCCCTAAGGAACACTGCCATTAATTGTTCATTAAGCAACAGGATAGCAGAAAGATAAAAGATAAGTAAAGGGCTACTTACTCATTTGACGCCCTCTTAGAGGATATATCCTGAGTCTCTCAATAATGTCAACAATGATCAGGGATAATAGAATCAGAGACACTGGCAGGTCAAGCAAGACATCAGACGATGAAACTGAAACTGATCCGGTGGCATTCTTTTGAATCTGTTTTCAGAGAGTCATTTAAGCACATTTAATTAGTTTGCTTTATTTGTTCTAAATTCTGTCAATAGTCTGCAGACAGTACTAAATTTATTATAAATATATTTACTGAAAAATTAAAAGCTCTGTTTTTAGCTTCTTGAGTTTTAAACACAAGGCTTTGAACCATTTCTAAATATGCAAAGGGGTTTCACACAAGTGGAATCATTTTTTATTAAAAGTAGAGCCCCCCAGATGAATGAAAAATACAATAATAAAAGACTGTGTATATAAACCAGCTGGTAAAGCACTTACGTAGCATGCATGAGGCCCTGTATTTGATCCTCATTCCGTGTGTGTGTGTGTATCTTGGTGTATCTGTGCCTGTGTCTGGGTGTCTGTGTTTCTGCATGTGGATGTGGTAGCTTGAAAGAAAACAGTCCCAAGGGAGTGATACTAATAGGAGGTGTGGCTTTGTTGGAGTAGGTGTGGCCTTGTTAGAGAAAGTGTGTCACTGTGGAGGTGGTCTTTGGGATCTCTTTTGCTTAAGCTTCGCTCAGGGTGACACTTAAACCATTTCCTGTTGCTTGCAAGATGTAGGACTCCCTACTTCTCCAGCACCATGTCTGCCTGCATGCGGCCATGCTCCCCACCATGATGATAGTGGACTGAACCTCTGAAACTGTAAGCTAACCTCCCCAATTAAATGTTTTTCTTATAAGGGTTGACATGGTCGTGGTCTTCACAGCAGTAGAAATCCTAAGGCACTGTATGTCTGTATGAATGAATGTGTGTGTGCATGTGTCTGTGTGTGTATGTCTGTGTCTCTCTGTGTGGATGTGTATGCATGTATATGTATGTAAGTGTGTGTGTGTGTCTCTGTGTGTATGTCTGTGTGTGTCTGTGGGTGGGTGTGTTTTCTCAGTAAAGGTGAAATAGACCACTCCTTCCAACTCTACTTCTAAACAGAGCCCTGAAAGAACCAGGTAAGCTCAGCTAAGCTTCCTTCTTCATCTGCTTGTGGTACCTATAAACACCCAACAAGCTTGGGTGCATCATATTCTTGGTGAAACATTGGAAGTTTTCTCTCAGAAACAAGACAAGATACCTTTGCAACCAATGCTAGTCAACTTTTCTTGGATATCTCAGAGAGTCTAATAAATCAAAAAAAAACAATAAAATTTACTAAAAGCAAAAAAAATTAAACATCACTTTTCATAAACTGCATAAACATATATGAAGAAAATGCTCCCAAATGAATCTATTCTTTTTAATTCCTAATGACAAAAAACAAAAATGAGATTTTTTTAAAGATAAAACCATTAACTGCAACTTCAATCAGCAAGTCAATTAGAAAGCATATTCTGAAATGCATATGGAAATGAAAAGTGCAGAAGTTATAGGTGGAAAGGAAGGTAGAACGATTTGCTCCTCTTGCTCTGTAGAACGCTTATAAAGCTATAAAATAAGTCGTGAGGTGTGAGTTAGCACAGGACAAACAGCTAGGCAAAGTGGCAACACTAGATGCTTGGGGACAGGTCAAACACATGGACACCTGGCTTATAACAAAGAGAACTCTGTTGAAGGAGACAAAGGAGTTTTAAAGCATGGTTCTCTGTTCAATAGAAAAAAAAAAACAACTTGACCCACCCCTGTACAACATAACAAGCAACCATTAAAGTCAGACTGTGGTTCTAAAAGAAGGAGAAGAAATACATTTTCCAAAAGATGAGCTAAGTTCATGATAAGATAAGATCTTTAGGACTTTGCAGTTTAGATTCGGAAATCTTAATTCTTTCACCAGAAGCATTTTACACAAATGAAAGAAGTTGATAGATGAAGCAGACTGTTTCAAGGCAAAAAGCTTCTTATCAAAAGACATCAGTAAAAGTGTGAAGGCAAGTCCCAGAATGAACATATTTATGGTACCTACATTTTAAAAAGTTGCAATTTGAATGTGCAAATAGCACTTTCAAATAGATTTTTTAATAGTTTTTTTATTTTTTGAGATTATAATATAATTACATCATTTCCCTTTCCACCCTCCAAACTCTTCCACATTACGCTCCACTTTGCTCTCTTTCAAATTTATGGCCTCTTCCCCAATATTTTTTTCTCTGTACGTCTCTGTGTGTGTTCCTACAAACATAAATAGAACTTGTATGATAATATTTTATTTGTCTTATGAATAAAGCTTCTCTGAAGACCAGAAGCTCCTGGAGGCCAGGCAGTGGTGTCACACACCTTTAATCCCAGGATTTGGGAGACAGAGGCAGATGGATCTCTGTGAGTTCAAGGCCACCCTGGGCTACAGATCACTGCAGAAACAGGTCCAGGTGGTGGTATCTCACACCTTTAATCCCAGCACTAGAAAGTCACATGCCTTTAATCCCAGCACTAGAGAGGAATATGTATAAGGTGGGATGAAACAGGAACTCCCTCTCTTTCAGTCTGAGGATTTCTTAGAGGGAAGAGCTCTCTGGTGGCTGGCTGCTTTGCTTTTCTGATCTTCAGGTTGAACCCCAATATCTGTCTCTGGGTTTTTATTATTCATGCTACAAACCTGTTCACTTTGTAAATCAAATCAAATTTAAAGGAGAAGCAAAGATTAAATAAACAAAGATGAAAAGACCATCTTTGGGGAGAAGAAATGAGTTTTAAAGTACAATGAGTTTCAAAAGCATATTCCTCAGATTAGCTAAAAACAAAGAGCAAGTTCTTGTAAAGAACATGAAGCTGAGGACGCATCCACTCTCTGCTACTGAAGTCTACGGAGACATCATCACAGTCTCTCTTGAAACATGCTTGACAAAGCATGCTTCATTATATTGGATGGTTGAACATTGTATAACCCATCTATTCTACTCCTATGCATTAAATCAACTGATATAGTCACATCTACAAAAAATTTTTGGCAAGTTTCTGGCAACATTAGCTCAAAATGGAAACAACTAATATTATCATCAAGAAAAAAACTGCCATACAGGTCTTTCACTCGCTTGGGTTAGAGTGAAGGGTGTTGTTTCCCCAATTTCTTTCACAGCCCATTTATTGTTTGAATATAGGAGGGCTACTGATTTTTTTAAGTTAATCTTATATCCTACCACTTCACTGAAAGTATTTCTCAGTTGTAGGAGGTTCCTGGTAGAATTTTGGGGGTAACTTATGTATCCTATCATCTACAAATAGCAATACTTTGATTTCTTTCTTTCCTGTTTCTATCCCTTTGATCTCTTTCAGTTGTCTTACTGCTCTTGCTAGAATTTCAAGTACTAGATTGAGTAGACATGGAGGGAGTGGACAGCCTTGCCTATTTCCTGACTTAGTGGAACTGCTTGGGTGGCAGACTTCTAGCAATAGGGGATGCATAGCCTGAACTGCTCATCTCCCGTGGCCAGGCAAGACTTCTGTGGAGAGATCGAAACACCAACCCAGCCACAAAACCTTCCACTTACAATTTGTTCTGCCTATAAAATGAGCTTGGGTAAAAAGGAGCAGAAATTGTGGTCTAGCCTGAGACCCACGCCACTAGAGAACCTGCCCCTGGCACTGCCAGATGGGTCAATATCCAGGGGCTGGATAGCCCAGAGACCTAGGACAGAACCAAACTTGACTAGCAAAAAAAAAAAATCAATGTAATGATGCCTAGTGATGTTCTGCTATACTCATAGATTGATGTCTAGCCCCATTGTCATCAGAGAGGCTTCATCTAGCAACTGGTGGAAACAGATGCTGTGACCCACAGCCAAACATTAGGCAGAGATCAGGGAATACTGTGGAAGATGGGGAGAAAGGACTGTATGAGCCAGAGAAGTTATGGACACCACAAGAAAATGCCCAGAATCAACTAACCTGGTCTTATAGGGGCTCACAGAGACTGAACTGACAACCAGGGAGTTGCATGGATCTGATCTAGACCCTCTGAACGTATGTTACAGTTGTGTAACTTGGTCTTCTGTGGGACTCCTAACAGTGAGCAGGGCTGACTCTGACTCTGTTACCAGCTTTTGAGACCCTATTCCTCATACTGGGTCACCTTATTCAGTTAATAAGGGAGGAGGTGCTTAGTCTTACTACAACTTGCTATGCCATGTTTGATTGATATCCATGGGAGGCCTGTCCTTTTCTGAAGAGAAATGGAGGAGGAGCAGATGGGGGATAGAGTGGGGATAGGGATTAGGGACTGGGAGGAGAGGAGGGAGGAACAACTGTGATTGACATGTATTGATAGTAATAAATCATTTTTTTAAAGAGAACAGCATTGATAGAACTAAGAACGCAGCCCCGTGCTAGAAGCTTGCCTTCTACGTCCAGTCCCCAGGTTCAATCCTCACTATAGCAGCAGCAGCAACAACACAATGGAAGTGTATAACTAAAGCGTAAACTGCAGCATTGGGCTAGGCTGGCGAACCTTGGATGTGCTTAGCACCCAAGATTCAGTCCCAACACCATAAATAAAGAAATAAATTGCAATAGCTTTTAAGATAAAATACTTGAGTCTTATAGCAATGAAAACATGTGAAGCTACAGCTAGACATAAAAGTATAAATGGCCTTCACATCATACTTTTGAGTAAGATAGAAGACATACATTATAATCATATATTATAACCATAATAAATGCGGTTATAATTTGACTTCCTCTAACAGAAAATTCAAAATATAGGTAAATGGCTCCGTTATAGAAGTCATGGTCAAAGTAATCTTGTGAGGGAGGGAGGGAGGGAGGGAGGGAGGGAGGGAGGGAGGGAGGGAGACAGAGCCTGTGGGACTGCAGCTGTTCAGGCTGCATTTCTTGACCTGAGTGGTGTTGGCACAAGGATCTGTTTTGTGACATTCCATTGATACTATACACTTATGCTTCATGCACTTTAATGGAAATTGAATAAAAAGAGAGGAGGTAACTATACAATGGATGAGCCTTCCTAGTAAATCACGAAAAACAGCTACCATGTCCCAGATATGCCATCATTTTATGAACTGAAATTAGAACTTCTGGGAATGCCTCCACACCCCCTCCCCAAGCTGATGATGCTGTCCTCTTTCCCAACACCTTGCAAGTGAATGACGTCATTGGTAAAGCCTTCGCTGACTTCTGTGGAAAGTGAGGCTGTTTCACACTGTGAAGTTTGCTTCCAATCATCCTGTCCTATGGTCTGGTTGTCTCCTGGAAACCTATTGGAGCTCTATTTTATTGAAACAAAAGACTATCAGCATAAATAACATGTGTAAAATATTTATCAGTGGGTAACTTACCAAAGATAATTGTATAAGAAAGTAGATTGCCTGAGATTTTTATTCTTTGCGGCTTTGAAATAAGCTCTTGTGTCATATATGTAAGTACAGAAGTAATATGTATTTTAAAATGCCAAACTATTCCTCAAATCACAGAGGTAATAATTATCTTACAATAAAGATTATACATAGATGTACATATATTTGGAAGAAGATTGGATTGAATAAACTTTGAAAAATGTTTTGGGCACACTACTCTCTTGACAATCAAAACCACGGCATTTTAGGACCATGACATCCCGCAGTAGAAGAAATGAAAATTGCATACCTCGGTGACTGCTATGGAAAAGCTGAAGCTGGGAAGAGTGGTGAGCACCACACACATCATCAGAACAGGTCTCCTAGCAAAGGAGAAAAAATAAGCAACAGCAATAACAGCACATTGACAGTTCCTGTTATATGTCGCTGACTTCATACTTCCTCTTTCATTCATCTATGTTTTTTTCTAAGAAGCTCCCTGCTTCCCTATTTCCATTTCCCAAATGTTTGAGTATGGCAAAAAGTAACATGTGCAGAAAAAAAAGAACAGATTTCTCTTCTCCAACAAAGGGGTAAGAGATTTCCAAATAGTTAGTAAACTAGTGATTGAGACATGAAATAAATATTATACTGTGTTTTATGACAGGGAAGACTCAGTGGATGATTAATATATTGAATTAACAAACAAGACAAAAGATAGTAAGAGATTTTGGGTGTGCAAACATATATACAGTACAGCAGGTGTGTGGAAGTCAGAGGATAACTTGGGTATTTCCTCACCTCCACCTTGTTTGAGGTAGGGCTTATGGTTATTTTAACACTGGGTGTGGTGAACTAGCCCATGAGTTTCTGGAGAGTCTCCTGTCCTTGTCTCCTAACTCCCATAAAAACAGAACCTGGCCTTTTATGAAGGTTCTAGAGAACTGAATTCAAGTCCTTATGCTTGGGCAATAAACACTTTAGCCAGTGAGTCATGGTGCCAGCCTATCAAATCTTTTTTTGTTACAACATAACATTTATCTCCTCTTTCCCTGAACACTTTAAATTAACTACGTCCATATAAAGTGCCCCACAATATAAGAACTGTTGAGTAGTTTTGAGTTGTTAACAAGTTTTCCTTACTTCTGTCGTGCCTCTATCTTAGACACAGGCATAATTAACAAGGTTGACGGCATCCCTCTGTAAGCCACACCCAGTGCATATGGCGAATGCTAGGTACAATGGGCTTTAAAGTTGGCACATCAGAAACTAGTCATTTTATTCTGTTTAGTAAAGTAAGATATAAAGAAGGAAGTTGGTCGCTACTCTTTCTGTCTCAGACCAGAACTACATTCCTGCAACATGAGGCTACCTGAGAGACCATGGCTAAACATACATCGGGTTCTCATCCTTGTAACCTGACCTCTGAAAAAGGAGAATGTACAGAGGATTATTGCTGAGCTTTTCTCTAAATAATCTCCCTCGATTACTGCCCTCATTCTCATGTTTTTAATTATTAACCTACTTTCCCAAGATACTCAACACATAGTGTACCAACTGGCATCCCTACTGAATGTTAAAGAGGCGGTTCAGACTAAATGCGTCTAAAAGACGAGAAAAGACCTTCCCCACAGCCACTCCAACACATCATCCCATCCTCTCTGACTTCCTGCTGCAATCCAAGGCCAACCCACCCTCTGCTCACTACAGTCTATTCACCATCGCCTCCCATCTGTGCTTCTCTAACAGGATTTCCTGATAGAGTTTCCCGTTCCTGAAACCATAAAGTCTTCCTCTACTGATCTCTGCCTTATATCTTGAGACAGAGACTCTTGCTGAACCTGAACCTCACATTTCAGCTAGACTCTGAGCCCCGTGATTTCTCTGTATCCGCCTGTCTCAGTCTCCACAATGCTGGAGTTACGGTACACACAGTGATCCATGCCAAGCTTTTGATCTGAATGCTGGGGATTTGAACCCAGTTTCTCATGTTACCACGCTTCTCCATCTCATCCCTGGGATCACATTTAAAATGTAAAATGCATTTTGTCACTATAACTCCAAAGATAGGAGGCTAGGGTCAGGGGTGGGGAATTTGTGTTTAATGGGAACAAAGATTCGGTCTTGAAAGATGAGAAAGGTTTATGGACAGATGGCTGAAAGTGATGGTAGCCCAGCAACACAAATGCACTTAATACCTCTGGGCAGTACACAAAATGGTTAAGGTCATAAATTTTATGCTATGTATATTTTACTACAATCACAGATATCGCTAATGGATGCACAATGCAATTGGAACACAATGGAGTCTTCTCACTCAAGCCCACAACTTTTTCAAGAAATCCTTTCTCTTCGATCTCCTATTTTCTGCCTTTGAAACAATCTGCCTTCCCCACTACTTAACTCCAGCCATTCCAGCTTTCTGATTATCTCAGGATCTCTCCATGAGGACTTCTCCTCAGTCTGACTAGAGTTTCACACTATCATCTGTTCCTCCTGCTGGGGGCGCTCTACCAAACCCGCTTCTGACCACACTGTCACCTATTTCTCCAGCTTTGGTCGTTTTTGCACATTCCTTCTGTACATGATTTGTGTACTTGACCCTGATGACAACTTGAAATCCTGTTAGTTTTCTTCTGTTATTTGTTGTTGGTCGTGATAGTGGTGGTTTGGTTTTTGTTTATTTGTTTATTTGTTTGTTTATCCGAGACAGGATTTTTCTGTGTATCTCTGGCAGTCCTCAAACTAGCTCTGTAAACCAGGCTGGCTTTGTGCTCCAAAGATCAGCCTGCCTCCACTTCCCTGGGTGCTGGGATTAAAGGCGTGTGCCACCACCGCCCAGCCTTTCTTCTGTTTTTATTGCTTGCTCTCGTCCTTTCCCTACATCTCACTTAACTGAACTTAAATGGCTTATTCTTTGTTTCCAGCACCTAGAATACAGTTTCTGAATCATTTTACATATATAAACTAGCTGAGAATCTAGTGAATCCTGAGGTATCCTCTTGGGATAAAATCTAAATGAGTAAAATAAAATACAGGCTTTCATAACAAATTAAATTGAAATTATCTATAACTCTCTTAAAAATAATCCCATAGGCCTCCAACCTTCTTACAGAATTACATATAATTATTCAAGTTCTTCCAGATTTTTAAGCACAGTAAGGCACGTACCTCCCTACTGACGCATTTCCCCAGCTGTGGAGTACTTAGAACAGGATGGGAACTGTAATCACTTATAATATCAATGTAGTCACTATTGTATACCAGATTCTAAAGTATCTGCTGCACCTGCTGTGTGACACGAATAGATCATGTGGTAAGTTTTGGTTCCTGATCACAGTGTTATAGGGTGTTGCCAACATTTATATTAGCCAGCTTTCAATTACAAGATATTTATTGATTACCTATTCCATTAGTTTGGTATGGTGTTGTAAAATATCTGCTACATATAAACTAATGGGATTGCTAATATGTACACACCACCCCCTACTTATGTTTCTTTACAATGCTCACATATTGCTAGGTCCTGCTTATAATTTATTAGTAAGGTACATGAATTAAATGGCGTACTTACCTAAAAGACACACTGAAATTCCAACCCCCCAGTACCTTGGAACACAACCTCATTTTGAAATCAATTTTTTTTACAGAATGATCCCATTAACATAAATCGTTAGGGTGGGCCCTAACTTAATATAATCAATATATACAGGCTAGCATAGAAAAAAGACATGGAAACATTGGAAGAATGCCATCTGGCCGTAAAAGCAGAAATCTTGGTGATTTTCATATTAACCAAGGAGTGCCACGGACTATCTAAACCCAGCAGAAGCTAGGACAAAGGTCAGTAATAAAGGTCCCTCACATTCCCCAGCACTAATCCAGCTGACACCTTGTCTCGGGCTCCTGGACTCTAGTCCAGTGAACAGTAACCTTATGTTGCATATGTCATGTAGCTGAGGGCACTCCGTTCTAGCAAGCAGAAAAGGAAACAAGGCTATGCCACTGAGGGAGATGCTGCTGAAATATCCGAAAAAGCAGGCATGGCTCTGGAAGTGAGTGATGGGGACCTCGGGAGTTGTGCATCAGAAAAGCCCAGAACGCCACGGAGTGGTTGGTGGTGGAAACATAGATGGACAGGAGATTCTGAACAGCTCAGAAAAGACAGAAGGAAGGCTCGGGGGAAAATGTCTATCATCTCAGAAAACAGACACGCTGTTGTGAACAGATGGCTCCTAGAAGTTTGACCAGCAAGGTCCTTCTGGTGTGTGAGGTAGAGACAAGGGGCGTATTATTGGGACCTGGAAGGAGGGTCGCACCTTTGTGCATGGTGGCAGAAGACAGGTGAATTATGTATTAGTTGCTTTTCTGTCACCATAACAGGATACCCAACAGGAATAACGTGGGCGAGAAAGGTTCGCTTTGGCTGCAGTTTCAGACCGTCGTAATGCACAAAGCACTCTGTAGCTCATGCAGTGGGGCGTGGTAGACAGTCCTCACACAGCAACGGACAAGAAACAGAGAGCCCTAGAGTGGAATCCGGAGCAGGTCTGCCCTTCAGACCTCTAGACAAATACTTATAGCAGCCAAACCATTAACTCCTAAGACCCTCACAGTTGGGAGCCATGTACTGGGAGCCTGTGGGAACCAGGCTCAAACCTCAATAATTAGCAAGCCGTGTACCAGACACAGAACGGAGGCTATCACTCAGCAGAGAACTGAAGGTGTAGTCTGTCTCCTCCCTCTTGTTTGTGCGGGAAAAAAAAAGTAGCTGAAGAACGATAAATTGAAGAAAGAAGTGTGAGAAGAAGGACACTAGAACTTTACTATGTAGAAAATTCTTACCCCAGCCATACAGTAGGGGCAGGGGTAACAAAAATATGTTCAGAAGAGACCATCAAAATTGTGGCTGTGAGTTCAGTCCACACAACAGCAGAAACCACTGGGCAGAAGACGATGGGGACACTGGCTCTTGGGCTTCTGAGACTCTACAGAAGAAATGAACTGATAGAGCTATTTGGCTCCAAACATGTCCCCTAGAGGGAAGAGTGGCTCTGGCGGGTCAGAGACTGAACAAGCTGAGGTTTCTCTATGAATTCAGAAAGCAGAGGCCACCAACCAGGAGTCAGCATAGCTGGGCCTAGAAGGCAAATCCAGAGAACAGAACATCCAGCAACAGAAAATCATCCCCAGGACTTCAAACTGAATGGGGTTTTCCTTCCTAGGATTGATCTTTATTGGAAACCATTGCTTTTCCTTTCCCTATTTATCTGTCAAAGAATGACAATGTCTATTGTCCCACCATCAGATTTTGGAAGCAATCTACTTTGTAAAGATTCGTGGTTTTTTAATTTATGAAGTTATGTGTTTGCTTGTGTGTGTG